GTCTGAAGTTCATAATGTAACAGTTTTCTGAATGTTTCAGTTGGAAGTATTGGAAGAATCTGAGATATGATGACATTATCAAAACTTTGTGTTTGAAGTATGTAAGCAATCCTACTTTCACAGAGTTCACATTAGCAAAGAGAAATAGAGAGAAATGATGTCCACCGAGATTTGATTTGAAGGGAGATTACTACTTGTTAAGACATTCATATTTTATTTAATAAAATATGACTACTTAATAACCAGTAATTTAGGAGTTGGTTAAAAAAAGGAGTATAGAAAAATAAGTTGTTCTAGCACATGAAGAATGCATTAGGGAAGAGAGAACTAAAGGCAATCTTAGATCTTCTCATTTAGGATCTCTCTCATCAGCACCTTGTTCAAATGAACCAATTGATTCTAATCAGATCTCATTAAACTAGCTAATTTTTACAGATGTTTTCAAAATACTTAGTGATTAAGTTCATTCATTCAGATATATATTCCATTTTTGGTATAAATGTTCAAGAGAAGATTTAAAAATTACTGTGATTTATGTCTTAGTTTGTTAATGCTGATCATGATGGTTTTTCTGTGTTTTTTCTCATGATATATAAAACCAGTCAGTCACTGAGACTCAATTACTATACATCTAAAATTGCTGACAGATGTGGCTTTTGTGATGCAAACTGTGTACTTGGCTTACAGGTGAACCCTAAATTTACACAATGCAAAAATGCAAGCTATAACCGATGCTTGCAAGGAAACATATTGTATTGGCTCTCAGGTCACCTGGATAATAACCAGGGGAAGAAAAGAATTAAATGGCCACTCATTACATTAGGGACCCAATTTTCTATGAATGTGGGGGTTTAACTATAGATTCTGCTCCCACTGGATAGCTTGAACATTATTTCTACAGTGCAAAAAATTCAATATAAATATAATCTATTTTATTTTGTGTTTAATATGCACCTATACAGTTGTATCTCATGCCTTTAAAATGATGTGAATGTGAAATTATTATAGACAGTGATTTAAACAAAATAAGTGTTTGATTTCATAATCTTTAAAAATATTTGTTCCCTTTAAAATATGTATAATTTTAACAAATTATTATCTTACAACATATGAAATATATTAAAGCAGTGTTAAGGATATAGAAAATATTGGTGATATAATTTTTATCTTAATTTTCATCCATTCAAAATTCTGACTAAAAGGACATAAATAATAAGCTTGAGGCAATTAACATTTTCTGAAAATTCATTCCTCTCAGCCAGAACAAAGTACACTTGACCAGCTAGTGGAATATTGCTTGTTATTGATATTTTGGAGTATTATATCAATTTATTTTAATTTTGAAAAAAGTTATTAGCATCCATACTGTTTCTGTGTGTCTTTTAAGAATACCCACATAAAATATTCTATACCCTTATTTTCTTACAATTATTTTTAAAAATGTTCTAGTTTTGTTTATTTTATTCTAACAAAATGGAAAGGGATCAAACATCTTACTTAAAAAGTCCAGCATAAAATTGGCAACCAATAAAGACTGTTAGTGGTCACAATGTGTAAATATTTGCTTGGTACAGTGCTTAGCATTAAATGTAAAAAGAAATAATGTGGTACTCTGCAAGCAACTAAGTGGATACATACTTATAAATCAATATTTATTATTAATCTACCAACAATATATCTCCATATATACATATGCAATAATGTTATTCTATAGAAGAAAAAGAAAGCTACCAATCTAGTTCATGTAAATTGTTTTTATAGTCTAAAAATCATAATTAATAATCTTTATATTTGTTAACTACTTTCTGCCAGTTAATTCTAGTGATGCAACAATAAATGAATGAATGAATGAATGAATGAAAAAGTAAGTAAGTGAAGGCACTGGCTCTGAAGTTTAGGAGATATTACTATAAATATGCTTTGAATATCACCATCATTTAAAGTATGGTAGATGTTAATGGTTAAGAACATCATTATAGGCTGGCAGTAGTGGCACAAACCTTTAGTCCCAGAAATTGGGAGGCAGAGGCAGTCAGTTATCTGGAATTTGAGGCCAGCCTGGTCTACAAGAGCTATTTCCAGAACAGGCTCCAAAACTACAGAGAAACCCAGTCTCAAAGAAAAAAAAGAAAAAGAACATCATTATAATTTTGGAAAAGAATCAATTTATTCTTTATTTTATTGTTTTCTTAGAAAGTAAACAATAGTTTACTGAACAAAGTAAAATAGATATAGCAGAAGAGAACAGAAGAGTACTCTGTTCTACTTTAAAAAATTTGAAGTAGGCCATCAGTTTAGAGAGAGCCTAATCAACACAGCCCGTACCCATTCTCTATGAGTGTATTATAAAGTTAGTTAATTAAATGGAAGACACAAGGGAGTACTTAGTAATAAAACTGACATTATAATAGTTCATATACTACTTGAGAAACAAAAGCCATAAAAATTTACACGTGAGCTAGGAGAATATGAACAGGAAAAGACAGATGTTGTCAACTGGGGTGCATATCATCATATTAGAGAATTATGGCAAACCCGCCCCCATCCTACTAAGACATTATTAAATGGAATTCTCTTCTGGGTATAAAAAATATGCTTTAAAATGCAATTTAGAGCTAGTCTAATAAAAATGAGCCTTTATATGCTTTTTCCTTTTGCTGTAATTGACTTAGGAACCATTACATATTTCTGAACACAGATTTAGACAAACATATTTTTCAGGTTCTTCACAGATACTTTATCTTTCCAAGGGTCTAATCAAAGTCACTTTCTTACTGAAAACGCAGTGTTCACTGTCTTCTAAAGCTATTGTTAGTCAGTTGTAGGGCTTTCATCCATTACCTCCACTCTCTAGTATACAATTATGGATGCAGCTAATTATGTTTCTAAAAAGAGGCATAGTGCTGTTAGAATTAAAGGAAATAATTTGTGTAAATTGCTCAGTGTAGAATCGTGCACATGCCTGGAGTTAGGCTGGTCCCATTCAAGATTTCCAGTGTATCTTTAGTGACTTCAGGGTATGTACTCTTCCTTTATATGACCAAATGCAAACTCCAGCACAGAATAAAACATATTTTAAAGACAGGCAATGGTGGCACACATCTTTAATCTCAACACTCAGGAGACAGAGGCAGGCAAATCTCTGTGAGTTAGAGGCCATCCTTGTCTATAAGACAGGCTCCAAAGCTACACAGAGAAACCCTGTCTTGGAAGCCCCCCCCCCCCCGAGAAAAATTAAGAGAAAGATAAAATTAATCAATAAAAATAAAAAGTAAACCTAGATGTGGGTGTTTAATATTGTGATAGTCATTGAAGTGATTAAGGAAACATTTTATCAATCACCAAATATAGTTATGCAATGAAATCAATATAAATTTATCCGAAAATGTGTTTCTGCCAGATCCTGTCGACCATTTTCCTTTAACCACTTGTCATGTGTAGCCCAAATAATAAAGCAAAGGGCACTGTCTTTTGTGGGCTGAAGATTTTCTTTTTACTTATATTTATTTGTTATTTTATTTTATATTTGAGACAGGGTTTCTCAGTAGCTGTGGAGCCAGTCCTAGAACTTGCTCTGTAAACCAGGCTGGCTAACACACAGAGATCCACCTGCCTCTGCCATCTAAGTGCTTTGATTAAAGGTGTGTGCCACTACCACCACACTGCATCTATATTTATAGGTATTGATATTGACCAAAATTTACTGCAAAGCTTAGAAAAGTTAACAACTAGTGAGTTCTCTTTATTTCATAATAGAAATAATTCATCTACTTTTTCAAAGCACATATATGAGTATTGGATTGTTAAGTTACAAATGCACTCTCAGGAAAATTCACCAAAGGAAATATACTTAGAACAAATTTAGAATCTAGTCACATAAGAAAAATGAGGTCTGATGTAAAAATTGTACTCGATATCAATTCTAAAATTTTTCTAAGATATGGATGAATGGCTCTTCATTAACTGACAGTTGCATACTCAGACATAAAAATTGTCATATTTACTCTGCCCAACAATATTATATAGAACATTTAAAGCACTCATGCTCTGTGTGAGGCTCCAAGGATGCAAAAGCAAATTGAAGAGCTGTGTCCATTTATATTCTCATAGATTACCATCTATATATCTGGGAAGAAAATGTAAATTTGAATTAAAAATAATGGATTGGTGGCATGTACAATCACAGGGTGCCAAGAAGGTATAAATGTCTTTGATTCTGAACAGAGGGGTCAAGAAGTCTTCTAGAACTGGGAGGGTGAAGCAGGATTATTTCTGAAAACAGGAGTCATTATAGAACAGGAAAAGAACTGGGTGCTGAGACCTCAGGCAGAGCTTCAACAGTGGCTGCAGTGACTAGACATGATTGGTAATGTTGGCCCCTTTCTAGCACCGTACAAAGATGAAACAGTTATGGAGCTCTGTATTCACTCGCATGTCTGGGTTTAGAATGAAGAAGAGCTTCACTCCCTTCACTCAGGTTTTGGTTTTCCATATGCTGAGCCCGTGGAAATGATGCTAGTTTATCATAAAGCCTATGCATCTATATTTAATCTTGTAATGTACACCTTGGTGGAATATGTCTCCTGACCACTGTTTTCATCGATCTGGGACAACAAGCCAAATGTGCATATTTTGAACTGATTGCTGAGACCATTCTTTTGAGTCCTGATCTCTTCCCAGTTTTCATTAGTGCTATATTATAATGCCAGTACTGGTAAACAATGAGACTCACACCATCCATTCAGATGCTGTGTAATAGCATGTGTGATACATTTTGTATAAAGGGACATAGTTGTGACCCAGATTGAGAGCAAGACATTTCAAGAGGTATTTACTGATTAGCATCAAAGTAGTAACTCAAATGAGTACATGAGTATTTATATGAACTGAATCCCATTTGGAAAGGGTTTTAAAAATTTGGAAACCTGGTTTTGAATTGTCAGGTCAACTGGAATAGTCCTAAATTACTATCTTACTTTATATCCTTTAGTGAAACTTACTTTCATCTCCTGTTTCAAATTCAAACTTCTGACTGTAGCCACTGTATCCTGCCGCAGTCCTCACTCGGATATGAAATATGTACTTGGTGGATGGCTTGAGACCTGTGATGATGACACTGGGGGCCTTGGACCTCGTGGAGGAATAGGTGAGCTGCTCATTCTCCTAGGGACAGAAAAAAGGAGAGAGGAAATGAGGCGGTGTGACCCTACCGTTTCCTAGAGACAATTCCCCAGGATAACTGAGGACTGAGGCTCTGGATACCAAAAATACTGATCTGAAAGAAATGTAAGCATGTATTTCCATAATTTAGCACTTAATTGATCAGTGTGATATATTGATATGTCTCTGATTTAGAAATTTATTGATAAGATGGTTACTTGTATTTAACTACACTTGGACCACCCGTGACTTAGACTTCACCCGTGACTTGGGGAATAATGGTGGTCTGACACCATGTTCACACAGAATAGCAGCTTTTTGGTCAAAATGGACAAACTGGATTAGACACATTAGCATTAGTTTGGCACTCACAGGTAGTGAGTGCCAAACGCCAGGGCTCTCTATCTCTGGGTGAGAAGAAAAATAAACAGGGATTTTTAAGGTTTGAGACCTATAGGAAGAATCTTCCTAAATTCCTAAATGCTTGCATTGATCTATAACTCTGATTCCTTAGAATTTTATCATTAATGTATGAAATTCAATAAATAAAATGATGCATTTCCCTTGATATACCAGAGTTCACTTTCAGATATGTGCAAACTACACCGTGATGGTGACAGATGGGCTTCAAAATGTGTCCATAGAATAGCAATGACAACAGCAAGTAGGGAAAGCATACAGCCCCTGTGAAATCGTGGACTGGTCTGGAGGGAGGTTTGGTTCAGTTCCCTGGTATTCGTATTCAACTATTTTACCTCACTTAGGTGAACTGGGCTAGCTTTGGCACTCTGAATGACCAGGTGGGGCCAAGACCTTCAAGTGTCCTTTCTTGCTCTTATGTAAGAACATAACCATTGTTTCCCAGTCTTTGTAGGGATTGTTCTACACCACTACATGGTGGTGGGGGATGAACTAAACCCTTATTGCTTGGAGTTTGTAAAGCTTTCCTCTAAGAACTTATATTTTAATAAGACATTCCAAAAAAAGTTTCTCTATACTGAAATTCTGCAGTCTGGAGTGCTCCTCAAGCAAAGTCATCAGGTGCTGACATTATGTCAAATGTGGACGTTTCTACACATGAGCATTTAGTGTATGCCAAAGTCAGCATACTGGCACACTGGAAATATTGTATAAAAATTGCCTTCAGGCTATACATATAAGAAGTTTAAATGAACTTGGGGCTTAGAATTGGGTACCAACCACAAGATATCTAATGTATATACAAATACCGCCATATCGAAAAAATTCCAGATATGTAATACCCAGGAATATTAGATAAGGGGTAGTCAATCTATATTTGTACAAACAACATTTCTCAATGCATGGATCAAGATAGTTCAATAGGTCCCAAAATGAATTCTGCTTTTTATAAATCTAAAAGCAAAAATTTTGAGGAATGCAGGGACCTTCCAGGGTCTCTAAGTGAATGACTCATTTGATGCTAAATGAAATCTGTACTATCAGGATCTCATTTTTAGTTGTCCTAGAAACTATTTTTAAGAGACTTTGTAGACTAAGAAAAGATTATAAAAATCTACACATCTACACAAGCAGAGGAAGTATCAAAGTTCCGTTTACCTGAGGGTGATGACTTAAGATTTAGAACTATGAGAATGATTTTCTTTTAAAGCTCTTAACAGATACTTATTAATAAACTTTATGGGCTTATTTTTCAGAACCTTATTTACTATATGGTAATTCAGTGTCTGAATAAAGGAATCAAATTTTCCATCTCTATCTCAAATAATAAAAATTAATTGCCAAATGACTGAACTATGGCAATATTGCAAATAACAAAACACAGAAATTGGGACCACATACCACACACACACACACATATATGCAGTTTTGAGACTAGGAAGTAGGTAGAAATTTATGCATCTAGCATAGGAGCCAAGGAAACAAAACCAGGTCTATAAATATTGATGGTGATAATCATCTGCTGGAAATTGAAAGCAGGAGTCCGCTGATGTCAAGGCATTTGTAATCAGGGCTTTTGAAGTCCGTAGCATAGAGAAATAGAAATGTACTTGCCACCATATTGTCTCAAGTAGAAGTTTGCCAATCATTTAGATTTTTCCAATCTTATGCACAAGAGGAAAGTATTCCACCTTTGATATAATTTCCTGCAATAGGTAAGTTTTATTGTGTCTTGAATTCTGCCTTACCATATGAAATGATGACTACAGGAGGAACTGTAAGGCAAGGAAAAAGAATTTAGTCTTCTCCCCTGAGACAGATGGTATGGAATGGAAAGTTTACTCTTTTAAATGCAGTCTAACAATTATACACAGTCTTTGTCGTTTCACCAAAACATAGCTAAACAGTAATTTCCTACTTAGTAAGTTACAGAGTCAAGGATGCCTACTGCAGGCGGCTTTTAGTTTTTTTTTTTTTTTCTCTCTGATTTGCAGAAAATGTTTGTAGTTATATCCCTGGAATAAAAATCGTCAGGAAGTGTGCTTAAATGTAGCCACCTCACTGCCAGCAGCTTGCCAGTTGCCCTTTCTCATTTCTTGCCTCTTATTAGCTTCTAGCGGAATAGAACTCACAAATTGGACTTTTCTTCTTGACTCTTTTAGACTAGTAGGAAACCAAGTTAGCATTCATCTACTATAAGCATAGGACATTATTATGTCAGAACATCGGCTAATTGTTCTTTTGCTGGCATATAAATTCCAAGTCTAAACAGCTGTCTTGAGGTAGAGAACATACCTTTTCAAGGGACTATTATATCCCTTGCTCATCCTGGCAGGATGAACTGTGAATATGTTTGATTGCAGCATTTGCATGTGCTTTTCTGGAGTAGCACCATGGTTGTGAATCATAATAGGATTGCTGGTTGTGTGAAAAGATTGTTGTTAACTCTGTAAGAAATAAATTTCACTGTTCCTAAATTTCTGCTTTGCCATCTTTATTCTGTAGCAAAATTTCATGATCATTACTTTTTTTTAGGTATGATCGTTATTTGTTACTTTTTTTCTTTTTTGAAGACAGATTTTGTTCTCATATAATATATCCTAATTATAGCTCACCCTCCCCCTATTTTTCGTAGTTCTTCCCAAATTTCTTCCTATGTAGCTTTCTCATTAGAAAGCAAACAGAATTCTAAGGTATAACAATAAAAGAAAGTATAATAAGATAAAACAAAAAATAACACATCAAAAATGCATAGATCAAACAAATAGAGGGAAAATAGCCAAGGAAAAGGCAAAGGAAAAAATATAGATGCAGAATCCCACTTGCTTAGAAATCTCATAAAAACATTAAAGTGAAAATCATAATACACATGGAAAGGACCTGTTACGGTAAAAAGAGAAAAGAAAAGTACAAACTAAATAAACTATAAGATAAAATTTAAAATTGTGTGTGGAAATCCCTGTCAGGAAATTGTGAGACAAGGAACCTACAAAAATGCCCTCGAGTTCATTTGCTGTTGGGCATCTACTGTAGAACCCCTATGGATCCAGGCTGTGTGCATGTCTCCTTGGACGCATGTGTATCTATCATGCTCATTTGGAGGATCACTTGTGGCCTCCATTCTTTTTGGCTCTTACACTCTTTCTGCCTCCTCTTCCTCAGGGTTCACTGAGTGCGAGGTGAGGGATTTGGTGAGAGCATTCCATTTAGAGTTCAGAGTTTGAAGGTCTCTCACTCTCTGTACCATATTCAGATGTGGGTTTCTGTATTTGTTTTCATCTGTTGCAAGTAAAAGTATCTCTGATGATGGCCGAGTAAGTTACTGACCTATGAGTATAGCAGAATGTTATTAGGAGTCATTTTATTGCTAGGCTTTTGTTTCTATTTTTCTCAAAACAATAGTATTTGGCTTTATCCTAAGTCCATGTGAATTCTAGTATCAGGTTCTTAGTCACCCTAGCAATGTCAGGGATGGGTTCCATCGCACAGAATGGGCCCTAAGTCAAATAAGAGATTGGTTGGCTATTCACACAATTGTCCCAGATAAGTCTTCATGTTACTTTTTGGAATTCCTAGAAGCTTGAAATGCCCTGTAACTTTGTTACCTCCATCTCAATTTTGCATTCTCGCTTATATCATTTAATATGCACATTTACTATAATCGTTATCTTCTGATGGAGGAAGGTCATTGGCCAATAAAGAAACTGCTTGGCCCTGTGGGTGGAGTAAACAGAACAGAACGCTGGGAGGAAGAGGAAGTGAGCTCAGAGTCTCGACCTCTCTGCTCTCTGGAGCAGACGCCTGAGAGAGACACCATGCCCCGCTCCCGAGATGAAGCTCCGACCCAGGACCCAGGATGGACTAGGCTAGAATATCCCCAGTAAGCGCACCTTGGGGTGCTACACACAGATGATTAGAAATGGGCTAAATTAATATGTGAGAATTAGCCTAGAAGAGATTGGGCCAAGCAGTGTTTAAAAGAATACAGTGTCCGTGTAATTATTTCGGGGCATAAGCTAGCTGAGCAGGCGGCTGGGGTGTTGGGGACGCAGCCCCGCCGCCGCTCTTATTACTACAATCTTTCTTCCACCTACTTTATGTAACTTAGGTTTTAAGTTTAACTTCTTAACTGTTAGTACATGCTTCATATGTACACACATATGCACATACATACTTTTTAAAGCCAGTTTTGTATTAAGTACTACATTAGCTATACTCAATATATAATTTTACTAATTTTTCAAAAGAATATTAAGATACATTTTGTGGCAGATTCAGAATTGTTACTTGTAAACTGTATAGGTACAGAATTTATACAGCCTATACCTAAGAATTCATCTCCCTTGGTGGCAATGGCATCGCACCCTGAACTCTGGTCAGTACGCAGGATACTCATTGCCCAAGGCACTGTCAGTCATGCAGTAATGCATGTTGGTTGCAAGTAAAGCAGTTTATAGCTTCTACTTGGATGAGCATAGATAATAGCATCAATTCTGGGGGAAACACACTTAGTAACAACGAATATTAATATTGTGTTATGAGCATCATTTCACAAATAAAATCTACACATAGTATCTACTATA